ACATCCGGCCTGCTTTACCAGTCTTTTTCTTTTCGTTACAAGTTTCTCAGTTGTCTGTTTAATTTGTTGGATCGGAGTTGAAGGTTTCGACTATTAAGGGGTTATTGACATTTGGAAAAACTAGCCTGCTGGAAATAATCCCAACGGCCCCTCTGCCAAGGCAGGACTCTATCATAGTATTAGAAACTCTATCATAGTGTTGACATTTCTCCTTTTTGTTATTACATTAGGTTGGAGAGTGGTGTAGCAATAAGGGAAGGAAACTTTAATGGTAGAGTTTTATTGCACTAGAGCACCAATGAGTGAAAGCAAGCATCTCTAATTAAGGGTCTTGACACGGTATTGAGGTCTGAAAATTGGGTATGGGATTTTCTTTCTAGTCCTTTCAGGAATGTCTCAATGAGATACATAAAGGTTCCTACCAGAATTTCCAAGTTTATATCTGATGTGGACCTATACTGCAATTTAAAACTTGTAATTCTTATACTTTCTAGGGCAGAACATCACAATTCTTGATTTCGGCTCCATTTAATGTGTATATTTCTTGTACTACATCCACTGATACTCTTGGTTTGGCATTATTTGAACTAATGCAGCTTTACACCTCCTGACATTTTGTACGTTGCAGCCAGTTGTTTTTCTCCATCCTGACATTTTGTACGTTGCAGCCAGTTGTTTTTCTCCATGGAGGCCCAGGAGGTGGAACTTCACCAAATAATCGAAAATTTTTTGACCCTGCATTTTATCGGATTATTCTATTTGATCAGGTTAGTAATGTCAACTATGTGTTTCAAAACTTAGCTAAGTACAGCGTGTGTGACAACCATTTTCATGTTATAGCGAGGTGCAGGAAAAAGCACACCCCATGCTTGTTTAGTAGAGAATACCACCTGGGACCTGGTGAATGACATTGAAAAGCTCAGAGAGCACTTACAAATTCCAGAATGGCAGGTTTGTGACTGGTTCTGTTTGAATCATTTTGTGTTCATTGCTTTACATCTCTATCAACCATGATCTTCTAGGTATTTGGGGGTTCATGGGGGAGTACGCTTGCTCTTGCATATTGCCAGTCACACCCTGAAAAGGTGAGATGGAATTTTTTTTAAATCTTGTTTTTCTATGTAGTCTTTTTTGGAGGATGTATAAACACTTCTAGAATCTGTGACAGTACATGTCATATTCTGAAATCTTTTTGGTTTAATTGAAGGTCACTGGCTTGGTCCTGCGGGGGATATTTTTGTTGCGCAAGAAAGAAATTGATTGGTTCTACGAGGGTGGTGCTGCTGCTATATTCCCTGATGGTATGCGTTTTAATTTGTAAATCTGACTAGTGGACTACTAATGATTGTGGAATATGTTTTGGAAAGTTGTGATTGTATAACTAGATCACATTACTTTCTTGGCAACATAAGAAGATATTATGTGGTGTAAAATCATGGAGTATTACCAAATATGGCTTAGCATGCAATGTCCTCCTAGCTTGATAATCATATATGAAAATACATGGAGTGATCAATTAGTCATAATGACTGAGGCATCTTTGTGGAGTCGTAATGTGCCAGGAGTCGCCATGACTAGATTGGAAAGAAGTGGGAGGTATAGTGTGTCCTATTAGGTTGCTCTGATCAAATTTCATCGCAGTAATAGATATGGAAGGCCTTGAATAATTTTTTAGCACAGAATTTGGCAAATATAGCAGGAGTTCTGTACAGAATCTTGCAGAGAAATCAAGTGCAAGGTGAACTTATCTGCGGTTCAGATTTTAACATTCTATTATTTCCCTGTGCCTTGAAATCTTGAATAATGATTGATTTCATTGCGTCAAGACCTTATTAGTGGCTGAGTGTGCGTTTTGCTCTGTACGCAGCTTGGGAATCCTTCAGAGATCTTATCCCGGATAATGAAAGGGGGTGCTTTATCGAGGCCTATCACAAAAGACTAAACTCTGATGATAAGGATATACAAGTAAGATCGACATTCTGGTTTATGAATCATCAGTCTTTTCTGACTTTTTCTTGTGATGCGAATAGCTGCACCAATTCATGGAGGAACCTTTCAATGAAAATCATTATTTTTTTTGGAAGATTATCTGTGAATATGTTACACAGTCATCAACTTTTTTGAATTCATGAAGCAACCTTTCAACCAAATTATCATTATTATTTTTTTTGGAAGATATCTGTCAATTTGTTATGCTGTCATCGAATGGACAATTCAGTCCCTTCTCTTTCATTTTTGCTTTAACTCTTAGACAGCTTGCTGGTTGCTTTCTGAAACTCCATCAGTTAGAAACTCAGGCTAATAACTAGATTTAAACTGTAAGATATTGTGGCCATCAGTGTTACGCGAAATTTTCTTCCTTATGCCTTCGTTTTATGGAACTTTGTTGTCGGTGGTGTGCAGGATAGACAAAGTAACAGTAGAATCTTCCCAGAAGTAGTCCTTTTGAATGAATGATTTTATTTCAGCATGATATGCTGATTCCCTTTTTTTTTTTTTTTTTTAAAAATCCTTGGGTCCTTGTACATTTTCTTAGTTCCTTATCTTTTTAGAATGCAGCGGCCAAGGCATGGACCAAATGGGAAATGATGACTGCACATCTTCACCCAAATGAAGAGAACATAAAGAAAGGGGATGATGATATGTTCTCTTTGGTAAGTACGAGATAGAAAGCATGGTTTGTGAAGATGTGCATTTGGAAAATACTATCTTATGGTTGAGTTCTTTGCTTAGATTTATGATGTTCATCCAGGCATTTGCAAGGATTGAGAATCACTACTTCGTGAATAAGGGCTTCTTTCCTACGGACTCATTCCTGCTAGATAATGTTGAAAAGATAAAGCATATTAACACAGTTATTGTTCAGGTATACCATCCTTTTGTTGCATCCAGTGTCATACTTTTCATGTCTTGCACATCAAATGATGTAAATAAATAGATGACTTGTTCTTACCCAGCAAAAGAAATATGAATTCAAACAAAATGCTGTAGAGAGGTTGCAATGGTCTGGTTAATTAATCTTGTGGACTCTGGAGAACTAAGAAATCTTGCTTCAACAGTTTGGTCCATTTGACAGCCTAGATACGTCCATCTAATTTTTGGCATGATCCCCGTGGATGGGACTTGGAATGTCTATCTTCTCCTTCGAGCGATGGAAGTTTGAAATATTATTTACAGAGAGATGGAAAAGGTTCATATTCTAGTCTTGCACCAAGTATAGATGGCACTTCCAAGATTAAACTATTGGTGGGGAAACAATACAAGAAGTTTTGTTAGTATAAGTTTGGTATCACCTCACAGTATCCATGAATAAAATAGTTACTTTTGTACAATCAAGATGTACAGCTTCTTTCAAGTCAGTCTTCTCATTAATTGGATAACCAGGAGTAAACTGTATAGGTGCAAAGTTGATTCAGCTTTGTCATTTGTTAAAGTATTATGTTATGACGAAGTATCTGTTCATCTCCTTACAAGACAATTTAGTCTTTGCCTATGGTAAATGGAAACTGAATCTTAGTTAGGACTGGTAAAATGCTTCAGATGTACATTCCATTTGTTATGATAACCATTTCATACATAATGGAATTTTAACCATTGTCCTAGAAGGTTTTGTTACCAGATGCTATGTTAGGAGAATCTTTGTTTATGTAACTGGAAGGATGGTTGTTATTGCTTGAAGTTTTTGCCGTCAAGGGATATGTTCTGAGTGCATTCTATTATCTGAATGAGAGAGGGACTACAGTTTATTCTCTTTCTTGCAGGGAAGATACGATGTTTGTTGTCCCATGATGTCAGCATGGGATCTTCATAGAGCTTGGCCGGAGGCAGAATTAATTGTAAGAGACTCCTTGCTTCATTTTCTTGATGATGAATAGAGCTCTCTTGTCAAAGAATTTTTCTGATGTGTTGGACACTCAAAATGTGAATCCTAGTAAAATACTTTCTTTTTAGTCCATCTGTATCTTTGATGAGTGCACAGATTGGCAGAAAAGAATTGTCTTCTAATATGAAGTGAAAGAGTAAGCATGTATTGGTAAGTTTAAAAACTGGAGTCTTGAGTTTTAAGAAATGACTAGGGGTGAATCATCATATTGTTGAAGTTGGTTAAGATAAGCACCAATTAAGAAGAGAGGCATGGTAAATACCGGTACAAAGGTAAATTATGGTAAAACAGTAATCTTTTAATGTGAATGGATAGGAAAAATTTGTGCCTTCTTGATAGTTACTTGTTAATAATTTTAGTCCATCCTACAAAGGGCTACTTCTAAATCACTTTTATTCCTTGTGATTGGACTCCATCATAGGTTGTTCCAGACGCAGGACATTCTGCTAATGAACCAGGGATTGCAGCAGAACTTGTCGCAGCAAACGAGAAATTGAAAAGCATCATCAAGGGAAATGCATGCTGAATGGCTGGCTGCACTGCTGGTCGTTGAATCGTGGAAATGTGTTGAGATGCGGCCCTCTTTTTAACCAATGTGGTTTCCAACCATTCAAACTTCGTACCCTGATCTTTTTTACGTATGTTAATCTTGGTAATGCAGCATGCATTCTACCCACTTGGGTTACTAAACGAAATAATTATTACAGGAATAAGAAGCCCATTTGGATTTGTTTGGATAGCCAATTATCTCAAATAATATTTCGTTTGTATCATAAATATATTTTTCAACTCATTTTTTTTTATATTTTCAATTACCTTTTTATCTCACATACATCGCATCACAAAAAATCTCACAAATAATCTCTTTTTGTTTTCCCTTTCATTTTGGATTCTGCAGTTGTATTAGGTTTTGTTTTATCTTAGCCCTAACTTTAGTGCTTGTTGCAAGGGTTCCATTAGTGGCAGTCAACAATTCCATCATTTTTAACAGCATTAGCTGGCCAAATTGACATTTAAATGGCTTTGAATGAAAAATCCCACCCCTCACCTGTTATTAAATAATGAGTTCACTTACATAAATCACGCGATAGATATACTGTGTCTTTTAACAAACAAATATCAGGAAACTTTCCTTCAACTTCCATATGTTTCTACAAAGAAAAACCACAGTACCCTAAATAATACATAATGATAAACAAAATCAGCATGTATAAGATGCAGCAACGCAAAGAATTCAATAAATAATTGAACACGAAGATATGGTACACTCAGCTGGTACAACGATGACAAGTATTTATGAAACTTTTTCAGCATGACTCGTTGGCATATGGGATCTATGGAAGTTTGGCTCCCTGGGGATGGTAACAGGCCTTCTTCCGCGTGATAGTGACCTTGGACAAGCTGGAGCTCTAGGTCTGACCACAGTAGGTATAGTAGTACCCTTCTTACATGGCTTTTCCACTTCCTCAGGTTTTGATTTTCCTGAAGAAGTTTCCATTATAACACCGAGTAGTTTGTCTGGAGTCCTTGCCTCTGTGGTAACTGAGAAGTGCCTGTAGAGGTGATCAAACAAGTTAGTCCACAAGACCATTTTGCTTGTAAACCCTATTTAAACCAAGTTATTTTAGTTTCTCACCTCTGTGGTTGCAGAACACGTCTTGAAGAAGATTTCGTCTTCTTCAAGTCGTAGTCTGACGCTTGACTTGTGCTACTTTCAGGCTTCAGTTCTTGTTGCTCTGAGCGTTTAACTCTACTAGGACCAGTAGGTGTTTTCGTTCTTACTTGCCGATGTGTACGTTTTAGTGAAGCTATTTCGTTCTGCACGAGTAGGATAAGGTGTTAATAGACTTTCAACAGTTCTGCACGTATGAACTCTTAAACAGACAAAGCAAAGCCCCTGAACTCAGCATACAACTTTTCACAAAGAAGAAAGAATGGGAGAAAAAAACAAGAAGAAGAAGAAGAACTCACTTGAATATCAACATGTTGTCCCTGCAAGTCTCCGCCTTGAAATCTTGAAACTACGGCAGCTTCATTTTGAGGAGTTATGGCTTGATTTTTCCTCTCCAAGTTGGCTTCTCTAAGAATTCCTCTTTCCTGCAAACCAAACTTTTAGTATTAGAGGTTTCCAGGCAGCATCAGTTCCTCCAGAAGCTAGTTTCATATGTTCAAAGCAGCTTACATCAGTTCTTAGCCTGAAAGGTTTAGGATGTGTGGGTTTTAGCTTCAACTTCATTCCTGGAGCACCAACAATGGGCCCTTTCACGTCCTTATCAATTGCTTCAATGACCTAAAAAATTGTGCAGGAAACTGAGACAGATTGGAATCCTCTGGTAATATGGAAATATTTATACAGAAAAAAGAAACAAACCATTTTTCCATCAGAATTTTGTGTGCCAAGAATTTTTCTTCCTGACTGATCCTTCTTGTCGTAATTTCTGCGATTCAATGTAAATGAGCACCACCATTAAACATGATTTAGGAAGTGAATAAATAGAAGCATGTCTAGAGAATTACTCTATATAAATATAAACAGTTTCCAGACCTCTTATCATCTAAGGCTGAAGCATTTTCCTTGTCATCGCCGAGTGATATTTCAATTTGACGTCTTGAGCAAAGTGAATTGTCTTGCTGTGACAAAACATTATTCAAATTCTCTCCGTTCCTTGAGCTCACTTCTGTACTACTGTCGTTTTCTCGCACATTTTCCTGAATCGCATCATTTTCTTTACATGAAGCTTGTAATTTTGGAAGATATTTCCCTCCCTCATTTGCTAGTGCCAAATTTGGTGAATGGTTCAGTTCATGGCTCAAGGCAGCACATGACTCCAACTCTGTTGATAGTGGCTCATGTGAGATTGGACAGGCTGCTTCTTTTACAGGACGCTTTCTGTTGTCAACTCTTGATTTTGCCTTAGTTACCCTAGCAGAAGAAATCTTTGTGTTGAACTCTTTGCTCAATTTGTCCTTGCTCTTGCTGTTTAGAGATCTCAAAGATTTAGGATCATGGTTGATTTGAGTAGTATTTAACTTATGTGAGATCTTTGCTCTGCACTTTTCCTTGTTGGAACCTTTCTGTCTTGTTGAAGAATGTTGTGGCAGTGACTTCTGAGAATTATGTCCGAGCTGCTTTGGTTGTTTGCTAGAACAACCAAGTACAGGCTTTCTCTGACTAGATACCTCAAGCTTCTTCATTCCTTCACACAATTTTGTTAAAGGAGTGCGCAATTCCACAGATTTCTTCATACTAATGGCTGTCTTTGGGGAGTGAAAGATCAGAGCCTTTGCAACGACCCGGCATTTTGGCACGGCAACACTAGGTGGCTTTGGGTTCTGAACACTTCGAAAGGCATTTTGATTTTGCATGCAGTTTTTGTTCCTAGGAGTTGTAAGATACTTTGCAGCAACTTGTTTTCCCTTGGTCTTTGGGGTACAATTAACTTTGGCCTTCTCTTTGTCAGCGCCAATCTTTTTAGACATGGATGATATGATAGCTAATCTTGACATTCTAGACTTGGAAGATTTTGGGGGAGCTGAAAGCGGACATTTCATGTTTCTACTGAAAGTAAAGATCAATTCACCTCAGTTAAAAAAGCCAATCACATGGATGGAAACGTTATGTTACAATAGGCATGAAAGTACTAAAAAGTTTTTGCACTAACCTTGAACAATTTCTGTTCAGCGCCTTGTGAAGTCTTACATTGGGACTTCTTGCTGCCATTACCTGTGTGAACCAGAAGTGCAAGTTGTTCAATCCATGTCTAAGCTGTGCCAATTGAGCTAAGAAACCACGAAATAGCACTAACCCGAAGGACAAAATTCTTGTAAATTGCTTCAGAATCCATTTCTTCCTCGTGCTTCTGGTCACATCCTGTGACAGAAACAAGGTAAACAGCAAAAAAAAACACACACACACACACACAAAAAGCTTAATCGTCCTACTACATTCATCAAGTCTGGAGATTTCTAAGTTATGATTCTTCTTTGCAAAGCAACAACATCCCCTCCCCAACCCCAAAAAAAAGGAAAAAAAAAATTCCCCCAACAGCTTTCCTGACGGAGGACAAGATTTTGGTAATGTAAGAGTGATGAATGTCCACATGTTATCTATACATGCATAAATGCCTACATAAAAGCAGATTCCAAACAGCTACACTGAAACTTGTACAACCTATTAAAGAAGAAGACAAGCTGAAATGTAATGTTGAATAGATCAAAGCTGAACAATACTTTACTGCTTCTCAAAAAATAGATAGACTATGCAGTTACAGGAATATTTGAAGGGATAAACTCAATCTGTAAGTATCCGTAGCCAACTCTACCAATCCACAGACTTCCCAAAAGGAATCTTGACGAAATAAATCTGTATAATTAAATGACAGGAGCTCAGCTTCAAAACCAAATATAGCAAAATAACTCTATAACTGCTATACTAAAAATAACTTCAAATACCAATAAAATTTAGTAAATGAAGACCAAATTCAAAGACTTACCCACACGCAAGCAGAACCAATACCGATCATCAGGACGGTAAGGATCTGGGACAGTAAAATCAACGAACTTAGGAGCTTCAATATCTTCATAAAACTTTTCATTTTCCCCTTCATCTCTGTCTTCCATTTCTGTATCATTACATCTGATGGAGTCTGCTGATAATTTAGCTTCCTCCTCAGCCATTTCTCTCAACTGGGGGCAAAAGACAAAAGGGGGTGGCCGGGGAGGAGCGTCAGGTCAGGTGGGAGAAGGGGTGGTTGAGATTGGAAGAGAAAGCTCAAATTTGCACTGTGAGGTGGTGGGCCCGGTGGATAAACCGTACAAGAGGAAGGCAGAAGCTTGTTTGTGCCGACGAATTTTAAAAACACAACTGACCGGTCCGAAGTAGCCGTTACAAGCTCTGGTAATTTTGTTATTCTTTCCAAATCAAAGGGTAAGATAGTCAACAAGGATATTCACATTTCTTTTGCTTTCCTTTTTCTCTTTCTTTCCAAGGCTGGTCTTGGGCTACAAGCATACGTGCAACTTTGGAATACAATTCCAATTTTACTAATCAGAGCTAAGGATGTATGAGCCCAAAGCACACAAATACAAAAGCCCACTTAAAAGAAGGCCTTCATATTCTCGAATTCCCCAAAGGTATAAGCACAGACTTTCCCTGATTTTCTTGCGCGGTGATCCGCATAACTGTAGCAGAAAAGGGCGGGTTGAACCGATTGATTGACAAGCTTTTTTGTGCCTGAAGGTTGCTGCCTGGATGAGGGATCATCCATTCACCGACTTTAAGCAGCATTTAAAATAACGGGTGCCATAGGCTATCATTAAGATATATTTTACGCGTTATATTTTTAAAAATATAAAATTAATTGGAGAAAGTAAATAAATATAAGGGAAGGTGGATAAAATTAAATTTAAAAAAAAATATAAATACGGGGGAGGATAATAGTTATTAGTGTATGTATATATATATATAGAGTAAATCTTATATATACTGACAATATATACACTTTCATCGTTTTGTTCATGACATGTGTGCAAAAATTGAATTTCAAATTCAAATTTTATATAGTTGTCACTGTCAGTATACGAAAGATTAATCCATATATATAATAGATTAGATGAATTTTAATTGTGTTAACGAGTTACTTAAGAGCACCTGACAGAAATATCGTCATTGTCATATGAAATTAGCAGAAGTGTTGTACACGGCTTGGTTTTGCTGCAACTCAATTTTACCTGCCAAGTCATACAACCAAAATGGTTACCACAATTTAGTGGTTTTAAGGAAGAAAGAAGAAGTGGTTAGATCCCTCAAACATGTCATGTTTTAAAATGCTTCACTTGTGCTTCACAGCATTTTTAATGAGCAAAAGTCTTAAAATGACTCAAGTAAACACTAGAACAATACACAGAAATAATGTAATACAGGTTTGTTTGGATAGTGTATTATTTGAAATATTATTTGGAATAATTACTGTAGCACTTTTTGTGATGTGATGTATGTGAGATAAAAAGATAATTGGAAATATAAAAAGATAGGTTGGGAGATGTGTTTATGATGCAAGCGAAATATTTTTTGAGATAGCGTAGGTATCCAAACACTCCCAAATTATAATTATTGCCGGGACTCGGATACAACTCATGATTGTAAACTCTCGTACGCTACGACAACAGCACAATTTCTGTCACTCGTTAAAATTTGTGCCCACAAATTCAATCTCAATGATCAAATTTTAAAACACTACATCTATCACCATGAACTGTTCCTTGCAATTACCATTATCACTATTGATTGCATAGGATCTTCGTCCCAGGAATAAATACTAGTACAACAACAAAAGAACTAAAGATTTTTTCCCCCATAGTGTTTGGTCTATGAGCGGTTTGCGTGCCCCCGATCCCTCCATGATCTTTGCACTTCCTTACCGTCAAAACTTGAAAACCAAAAAAAGCGAGCAAATAAAGAGACTGGTACTGTCTTTGCGGGAAATAAATCAGAAATTTTGAGTTGGTCCGTTCCTCATTAATAATTACAGATTCAGTACAACCATGATTGATGGCCGCCATTGACATTTACACGTCCGGTACAATCAATGGCCGCCAGGTCTCTGCTTCCGTCCCCGAGTGTGTTTCCGCTGGCCGCTATGGCTGCTTTAATATGTTACGCTGGATTTGTACGTCTTCCATTCATTTCATGAAACAAAATATAATTCAAGCATTTTTTTCATGGCAATTTAGTTTTAAATCCAAGTACTTTCGCGCACCTTCTGCCATTATTGGCACTAAATACGCGACGAAAAGTGTTAAATTTTTTATAAAATTATAGTTAATTCGCAAAAGTATCTGAAGTCTAAACCCAATGAGTACGATAAACACATGCATATACTTTCACACATTGAATTAAGGGATAATCTCATAAACCTCCCTTGAGGTTTCTTACTAGCTATTTCACTTAGTTCTCTTGATGTTTTGAAAATTACACTTACCTCTCTTGATTTAACCCTTTGGTAACCAAACTTTAAAATAGAGTAAAAAATTTAATGAATACCCTAAATTCCCCTTATCTTAGAAAGTTTAATTTGTTCTTCTAAACAAAAAATGTGTCAAGTCTTTCATGCTAATATTTATTATTTAATAATCAACTATAACAATAAATCTTTTGCTACGATAGGCTATTTTTCATAGTTTTTAATTGGAAATATAAATTCTTTTTAAGACAGAGAAGAAAGTGCTATTTTGTTTCTTTTAAAGCTTATGGACTATTTTTTTAATAAAAATTTATGGACTAGTTTAGTGGTAGAACTATCATAATTTGGTAGCGATTTTGGGCCATTTATTTTTAATCATTGTTGACTTATTCTTGATTTTGATACCCCAAAAAAAGAGCCACAAAAAAAATTGGAGGATATTAAAAGTTATCAAAAAAAATTACTAGTTTAACGTTTAATTTAGATAGATATTAGGGGCAACATTGATAGTTCTTCTATCCTTCCAATGAAATGTAAGAGAAATGAATAAGAAGGAAAATGGTAACAAAAAAATAAAATCCATCCCTTGGATAAACATGGCAATAAGAGAGTTTTATTAAAAATATTAATATTAGTATTATCATTTTGAATAGATCGACAAGGGATGTAAGTATAATTTTTAAAACCTTAGTGAAGTCAAGTGAAATATTAGAAATCTTAGGGGAGGTTTCTGAAATTATCCCTTGAATTAATATAATTTATATATACCAACGATAAACATCCATTGGAAGAAAAAAAAAACTTTCAAAATAAATACAAAATTCATTTCACATCTTTGTCATAGACTCCAGAGAAAAGTATCCTCAGCCTCATGCCTTAAGTGGCACGCACAGCTGGAGCCCGCGTTGGCACATCATGAAGATGAAACAATCAGGCAAATTACCTCTTGAAATGAAAGTTTGAGATTGACTTGCCAAGGTTTCCTTTTGTGCGTGGACTTTTTATTTTGCTTATTTTCATGTTTTCCCATCAATTCGATTTGCTCCTAAAATTTATCTTATAAATAAATGAGTTTGTCCATGGTTGGAACGCTATAGAGGATGTTCCAGTCGGATTCGCATAGCACCCGTTGAGTTCAAATATAATACGGATTTAATCAGATGACATGTACAACTACAATCAATCACTCGACATAACATCTAGATTTATTGATGAATTGCATCATGAGTATTGCCCGAATAGCATCATAAGTTGATTCTCGTCATCTTTTCCATCCAATTATCATGGACTGCAGATGCCTGCTTTCTTTCGCGGCTCCAGGATGCTAAACTCAGGCAGGCACGTATACCGTGAGACCAACAGATGTGCAGACATCTTAGCGAAGTTGGATAGCAAACTGGATCAGAATTTTGTGATTTTTGAATTATGTCCTCTCCAGAACTCCTTTTCGCTTTTGATGAGGACGCCAGAGGCATCTGCCATCCCCGTAGCATTAGGACGATTCTGTAACAGCTAGGGGAACTCTTGATTGCTGTCAATATATTTTGCAGTTAATTATATGAAAAGAAAAAGAGTTAAAAACGCTTTATTGAATTTATTGAAGTTGAAAACGATTGTGCATGCAAGTCAGTCTTTCCTAAATGGAATTTGTGTGAATGAACTAGTTTCTTGCACGGATCGAACATGACTATATATGCTTCAGGTTCATCAAGCTACTTCATTAGATCACTTAGATGTGAAAGGAAGCAGCTGGCGCTGACAAAAGGGAGGCCAGGAAAACACTTGCGGATCCAAGTCCAATTTGGTTAACTGGTTGCAAATCATAACATCCTAATCAAACACCATCAACATTATTATTACTTGTGTAAATGCCCACGTAACTGTTTTTGACAAAATGGTTGGGGGAGTTGATCAAGACCAGTCCAACAAGATCCACCCACCACATTTTACTGTTATCTGAAAGTTGGTTAGCAAAATGAAGCTTTGGTTCCATTAAATGCTCGAGCTAATTCAGCTTCTCTACGCATATATGTTAACTGGTATCATAAATCGATTGGCAGTTTCTTGGGTGCTTGCTGAATTTATTAATGCTCCTTCATTGGTGTTGTTAACTACGATGATACGACTCCTAACTCAACCCACCATCTGGGCTCGACAGCTTTTCTCTGAACTGCTGCAGATACAGCCATTGATCGGTTGATCAAAATCTGGATCGATGTCGATCCAAAACTCAAAACACATCTAATCATGACCACTATTGTCTAGTCTTGACTAGCACAGCATAATTGGTTCGTTAAAGCAAGAAGTTTTCTCAAGTTAAAAGTTTGCGATGAATTGGACTTGCCGGTACTAGGTCTGAAATCACTGTGGCAACCACCAAAAAGGGTTGAAACGGGTGCCCTCTTGACCCAAAAGCGGATACTGGGAAATATACAGACAAACCCGTAGACTTTTTCTGTTTCGTCTACTTCAACAGAAAAGAATGGATTAGCGCAGAAAGACCAATACCAAGAGTGCTGACGGAGACGCAAAACAAGCACCGCATAATAGCAGCTAATTAATGAAGCTCAAAGTGTAAACGAGTTGACAATATTTAGGATTCAGCGTTCAAATTTCAAAGTCTATGTAGTGGATATCCACAAATTATCACCACTTGCAGCTTTGGAGTCAGAAGACTTAGAACCCATTAGGCAAAGTGGAGGGCAACCCTCCATAAATTTAATCCTAATTAATTATGAAAAAGTTGAAAAAAAAAAAAGAGAGAGGAAAAGATGGGAAAGTGTTCAAAACCGGATCAATGTACACAGTAGCTGGTTTTTGATAACCAACTCGTTCAGGTTAGTAGTCACTAGC